CCATGGAGTAGTGGTAGTGTTCTCGAAAAATGCACTCCAACAGAGAGAGAGAGCACACGACCTCGCGTCTGGAGTGCAAGGGTACTAACTACCACTCCAAAGCAACTCTAAAAGCCCAGAAGCTAGCACGGTTCATATTGCAATGCTTTACTTCCAGCCAACTTTGACTGCTCACAACTTCCTTGGCAGGCTCATTTTGCAGTTTTAGTTTCCATATTTGTAATCAGAATTTGAAGCTCTATCGATATATCTGAGTCTCATCTCGAAAGTTCCATGGGAAATTGAGCGCCTCCCTGGTGAAGCACCACCTCCTCCTTCTGAACCTTCCTAGAAATTATCGTTATCGCTACCTTAAAGGAGGATTGCACGGAAAGAACGAAGGTCGAAGAAGGGAGAAATCGCCTAGTGGGGAGAGCGGTGAATCTCTTGAGGGTGCGGACAGACACGCAATCGGCATCGAAAGATTTGACCTCTGAGATCTAGCATGGCTCAAAGTTGGCGAGTTCGGCGATCTCCGCCCACCGATCGTCTGATCACTCGCCGTAGTACAATAGGTGGCGAGTGATTAGATAGCTGAGAGAGCGTAGTGTTGAAGAGGGCAAAGCGATGAGAGTCCCATCAATGCTCAAATCAACGGACAAGGAAGGGGTCCCATTTCTCCGGTTCTGGGCCGTTTTTCGTGGTTTCGCTTTCTTTCTGGTACTACTCACCATCTCTACCTCAATTTGGAATGGGTTGCTTTTCCATCGTAAATTCGTCCTTTAAAGTGTACAAAGTTCCTCCCGTTCACACGAGGCTGCGGCGTAATGGCAGCTTATACATATAGCCGCTATAGCGTGGTATAAGATGGCTTCAAGAGCGTCAAAGCACACGTGCTACCGATTTTTTGAAGCCACAGCCATGTGCACTCGAAATTCTGCAAAAGCGAATGCATTGCCTTGGGAAATAAAGTGTTCCGAAGTCTTAAGGAGCTTGATTGTCGTCGAGCCGCAGTTGCATTTGTTCGTTTATTGATCATTTAAGGAATAAATGGTTGAATTTCAGGACTTACGAAGTGATTACGTTCTGAGAGAAAAATATCCCGAATGGCAGCCATCAATGTCGACCACCAAGAGATCGTACGTGAGTGGTAAATGTAAAAAACGTCAAGCAGCTCTCTCTAATCAGCTCTTGCCTTTAGCAGTTTCAGTCGTCGAAAGATACAATAGTAAATCGACTACTCACTTCTGACTACAACTGGGATGAGGAGAGAGATCGAAGGCAAAGATTTTTGTGCCACACTTTAGGCCTCGACCCCTCTACGAGGACATTCCGACCAGGTAAACTTACAATTAGGTTGCTTCAGAGAGTGCTGACAGGCTCACCAGACTTGGCCTTGTTTAACAGGGCGGATTTAGGGGACCACTACTGGCTTCGGATATGGAAAGAATTCGGCGGCGTCTCACCGAGATTTCTGGACAGCTGCGTGCCATACGAGAGAGTCGGCTCAATCTCACCACTGAAGACTATCTGAGGACAAAGGTTGACATACCAGGTGAGCTTCGGCATCCATGGAAGTTAGCAGAAAAATGTCGTTGGGGTGAGGGGAGGATAGCATATGGCCTTTTCGAAAAGAAAACGTGTGAATCTGCGCTGTTAAAGGGTCCGCTAATGAATTAGTTTGTTTCCCGAAATGATAAAGAAAAAGGATGCTTTGAGCATTTTTAGGAAGCTCCACCGATTTGAGTCAAGATTCCGTCAATGTTGTGTTCATCTTTCCCAATTCTGGAATTTGGACCTTTTTGCTACTTTTAATGAAGGTTCAATTTAGCACAACGTCAGGACAACAATGCATCTCTTATGGAGATTCGCAGCCGTCTTAGCGACATGGCCTTGACGACATTTGAGCCGGTGGCTACGCCAACCTCTGAGCAGATCACCTTCATGAAAGCTAGATGAGGAACGGGACAGATATATCGCTGGTGAGCTGTTCTACGAAATCATCTTCTGCCCTTTATCTGTAACGGCAGTCATAGGGTATCAAATCAGTATTCAGCGCAATGTCCCGGTGAATTTTGGCCTTAGCAATCTGGGGCCGAAACACTTTATTGTTTCTCACTTTTCGGAGCCTCTATTTTCTTTTTGGATGGGTCACAAGTACAGCGACCTTTGGAAACACATATTCCACTCAATTATGCATCTATCGCATTTACAAGCTCCATGTTGCCTAGGTAGGGACTCGGTCGGGTTATGGTTGGATGGTACTTATTATATATTTGAGGGTGGGCGGATAGAAAAAAAGACATTTTGTCTCTAGACTCGAATGGATTTAATCACACTTTGCTCAGCTCAAAGCGTGTGCTCCAACTTAGAATTGAAGAGCGCATTTCATTTCATAAGAAAATCTTCATAGTGGCCATCTACGTGGACGGCATCAGAAAAGTTTGCCCCGGAAACATGGTGCTCTGGTCGAGCTCAATGGGGTTCTCGACTGATCGTGTACCGTTACGACGGGTTCCGAAGGGCGGGTTCCGAGGGGTTTTGCATAGTTAGAGCTAATGTCCCTAGGAAACTATCCCACGTTGAATCGATCCAAGAAATTATGTAAGAGCTTCAGGCTGAAGCAGTTACTGTAGGCCTCCCTGAGCTCGACGACGGTGACAGATGACGTCATATTCTGAAGACGGTGAGGGTAGTGAAGGAGGGCCTGCGTGTACTTATAGAGGGACATTTAGGGAATATTTTGCTGAGGAACTTCCGTCAATGACGGCAATCTCTCATCAATCTCGGCAGAAAAAGGCCGAAGTACGACCTGGGCAAAATGTCTTTTTTGCCTCCCCCCTGTAGATCTCCGCATGGAACAGTTCTCCCATCTATTCGAATCAATCATCGTCCAGAAAATTCTTCTTCTTACTCCTTCACGTTGGTCCTATATGAAGGGCGGAGTCTGCTGAGTGCGTGTTACTAATCTGATGTTAATTCTGGTGTAACCAGCTGTTTCTCATGACTCCACAGGGTGAATGTTGGGTTCATTCGCTGGTAAGGAGCTTAGACGCGACTTACATGGACCGTAGCTGCTACATTCGTACATTCGTAGATACATAAGGTTCTGATCATAAAAAAATTTGGGGTCTCATCCAGTAAGGGGGGATGTGGTGTGACAGTTCTTGCCGGCTACAGAAATTCCAATTTTTGCAAGGGGAGGGAATCCCCGGGGTGCGTGAACCATTTCGCTTAAACTTTTACACCCACCCCGGAGCTTCCCTCCCCTGAAAAAAGTGGATTACTTCATGCAATATGAACTGTCGCACCACATGCCCCCCTTACTGGAAAAAGTGGATTACTTCAAGCGATATGAACTGTCGCAACTGTCGCACCACATGCCCCCTTACTGGATGAGACCCAAAATTTGCATCCTTAAAGGCACGGTAAATGCTATAGAAGTGAACTAAACTCAGTAACCATTGATTAGGTCTGGTTACAGTCAAATAGGGCGGGCCGCACTTCGAAGAACTCATTCAGCCTTGGTCACTATATAATATTTGTACGATATCAGGAGTAAACATTCATGTAGTGAATTCAGATATTCGAGCCAATCGTGCTATATTCTCAACGGCAGAACCTACGCGACCACAACTCCTCTCTGCTTCCACCACTACGCCAACTGCAAATGTGGAAGCGTTCCAAGCTGCGCGTGAGGTGGATAGATCTGATCCGCCCAAGGGACAAACGACGGTGGTGCCCACCTCTGACAAGGACTCCTCAGCACCAGAAACACAGATTCCAGATAGGAGGGTGATAACTTTCCAGGAGCCTCAGCAGCTGAGTCAAGCTCAAACTGTGAAAAAAGGTTGGTTGCACCTGTAATTTTCAAGCGACTGCTCATACATGAACATTCCTACATAGGCTTTGTGATATTCATCTTGCATACCAGTATCTAATAGTAATTGTTTAGAATCGCCTGCGCAAGCAACTCCCGCTCAACAACCATCTGTCTACCAGAAAGTGATGGGCTTGTTCGGCAACAACAACACCAGTGATACTGATGATGATATCTCCCTGCAAACGGAGCCACCCAAGAATATCATAAAACCTCAAGTGTACGTGCCTATAATCAATTGTAAGCTTTGATATAACATGACGATTCTAGGTCCGTGCCGGTGCAGCCTGTGGTGCAGCAGAGCAGCGCTGGTATGCTGTCACACTACCTGGCTGCAGCAACCTCTACCACTAAAAATGATACACCCTCGGACAGCGACGATGACTTCTTTAAATAAGCTTATTTCGATAAAAAAGGGTATAAAAAGGTATTTCCACATATCACACACCAATTATCTGTTTTGCTAACTAGGAATAATAAGGCCCCACAACAATTTCTTGAAGCATCAACCCCAGACGAGGTCGTGACCGAGATCTATTCTGGGTGTGAGAAAGTAACCCACGAGTAACACACATGTGCCGCTGTCGCGACTCGAATGCGGGACAATGGCGCTAGGGCCTTACAAAAAGATATGATGGCGACTAATGCGATCTTATGACGAAATACCTCGCGCACACCCCTTCACACGTAACAAATAAACGTAGCGGTAGCATTATATACGTATAGCGAATAATATTATATTTTCCTAGACAACTTGTTGTCGAAGTAAAATATTTATTATATTTAACTGCGAATATCAATTACAGTGCTTTAGCGCGCCGTGCTGAGCTTCTCCTCAAGTTGATCTTGATCAAGTAGATCAATCAATAATTCAATTCGCGCGGGAATTCGCGCATGCCCCAAGCGTCCCTGTACCTTGCCATCTCATTCGTCTTGCTTGAGAGGCCCAGGGTGTGTTCAGCTCGCACTTATGTCGGTTCAAAGATCTCTATTTTAACTAACAAGTTGTTACGACGGACAAATTAACCAAGTAACAATCAACTGAGTCGGTGCCGGATAGTAAGGCATTCTTGTACGCTTTACTTCTTCGAAGCGTGCGTTTTCTTTGACCTGTGATCCTTAGGCTTTTTGCGTCTTTCGGCTTCTTTTTCTCTTCCATCCGAAGTCCTCTTGGATTTCCTGAAACCAACGAGGTGATATCTTCGATTGGAGTCAACATAAGGGGGGGCAGCTAATTAGGGTGGGAGTGTAATTGATATTCGCAGTTAAATATAATAAATATTTTACTTCGACAACAAGTTGTCTAGGAAAATATAATATTATATTACACTGCTACTATCAATTACAGTGCTTTTTCAACACACCTATTCGAAGAGAGCACCGAGTTCTGAAACGTTTGTTGTGATGGACCTTTGTAATAAAACTTTTCAAAGGTGGTTCCATTAGGTGCCCAATTCGCAGCTTCCATTATGGCCTTTGAAGAGAGACCCTGTCTTTTGGAAGATGTTGTGCTTGCCGCCCTGGTTGAGTGTGCCTTGAATCGGTCATCTATTCCCGAGTTTTTGAGCACTTCTCGAAGCCAGCGAGCTATGGTTGTGGACGAGACACTTCGGTGTGGGCTATTTGTACTTAGGAATAATGTCCGCGCTTGGTGACGGTATAAGATAGTGCGGTTTATATAATCTTTAATCGTCACAAGGGGACATAGGAGGACATCTTCATTGTAGGCGTGCACTACTGCTGTGTGTGCTTTCCCAAATCCTCTATTCTTGTTGACGAAATCGAGGGAGAAAACCCATGAGTTTTCGCCTAATTGAACAGAATCCAACGATAATGCTGCTAGTTCGGAAACCCGTTTGGGGGCCACTAGGGCTAATAGCATTACCGTTTTTTGAGTGAGCTGTTTTAGGCTCAGCGATGCATTAGGTCCCAAGGATCTCAGGTAATCAAGCACCACTGATACGTCCCATATGTCAACGTATCTAGCCCGAGGGGGTCTCTGTCGGTAAAACCCTTTCATGCATCTACTTATAAGAGTCATGTCTTGTCTTTGGAGATCCCCGTTAATCGTTGAAAGATATACGATTAGAGCCGATTTATGAGTGCTGATCGATGAAAAACTTGCGCCTAATTTGAATAACTGTCCTAGAAAGTTTAAGATGTCTTCCACTTTGGGGTGCAGCCTGTCTATCCTTCTGATCTTGCAGAAGGTTGCCCATTTTTTTAAGGCACTATCGTATTGTTTAATGGTTGCGCGGGACCAGTTCGACATTATAGAATGCACGACTATTTCATCAAGGCCTCCGTCTCGCCAGAACTCACCTAGATGGTGCATGCTATCAAACGAAACCTGGGAGATCTGAGGCATGGGTGTGGAGAACCGCTCGAATCCTTCAATAGATTCTGATTCGAGATTAGTGGCGTGATCTCCTTGCCGTGCTCCATTATGAGAGGCCACCAACTCTGATTTTCCCACTTCGGGCACACTAAAATTAAGCGTGCCCTTTCTCTCAGAGCTTTTTTGATCGTTCTTCCCACTAAATTGAATGGCGGAAATGCGTAACCGTAAGTCTCCGACCACTTTTGAGCGAAGGCGTCTGTGCCAAGTGCACCTGGGTCTGGAAAAAATGAGTAATACTTCTGACATTTGTTGTTCCATCTGGAGGCAAATAGGTCTATCTCCGGTGTTCCCCATTTGGTAAAGAGTGACTTTACCGTTCTTTCTTCAAGAGAGTAATCAGAAGAGTCTAGAGATTTTCTAGAGAGGAAGTCCGCTTCTCTGTTTTGTGCACCTGGCTTGTATGACGCTATCAGATGTAGACGGCGTTTTTGAGCCCATAACCACAACAGTCGTGTAAGTTTGTTTAAACGTGCGCTTTTAGTGCCTCCCTTCTTATTTATGTACCAGACCGCCGTGGTATTGTCTAATTGTACGCGAATTGTGAGATTACGCAGTTCATCTGCAAAACAGCGTAATCCCAGTATGCACGCCGTCAATTCTTTTTCATTTATGTGCCACTCTGACTCGGAAGGTTTCCATCTCCCACTTGTGCTTCCCTTTTCGCATATTGCGCCCCACCCAACGTTTGATGCGTCCGTTGTGATGGTGAGCGACTCGTTTTTGTGCAAAATAGGTTCATGAGCCATCTTATCCAGATTCCTTGACAACCACTTGAGGTCGTGAAGGCAAGCTGGTGGGAGGTTGCTCATAGTTTTTTGGTAATCATTCGCATCCTTTAGATGGAACCTTCCTAGCCAAGACTGAAGCGGTCGCAGGAACAGGATAGGAATGCTTGCTGCCATGTTGACTGCGTTCACCTGTCCAATGAATCGAGCTATATCGCGTAGGGTGACTCTTCGACGTTTTCGAATCCTTCGGGCAGTATTGCAAATACTTGTTATCTTGCGCTCTGGGACTGATAGCTCAAAGGTCTTTGAGTTGATAGTCACACCCAGAAACTCTATTATTTGCGACGGTTCTAGCTGCGATTTGCTCTCGTTTACGGTTAGACCTAGTTTTTTGAAAAGATGTATAATCAGGTTGATTTGCTACTACCAGAGAGGCCTTTTCATTATCAATGAATAGCCAATCATCCAGGTACACAATCAACCGTATCCCACATCTTCGCAGTTCTGAAGCGATAACCCTCATTAATCTAGTGTAGACATATGGAGCTGAGGATAATCCAAAGGGTAGTGCCTTGAACTGGAAGAGTTTTCCGCCGCAGTAAAAGGCCAAGTATTTGCGGTAGTTGCTATGTATAGGCACAGAGAAATAAGCGTCTTTCATGTCGATCTTTGCCATGAAATCATTTCTCTCTAGAAGATCCCTGATCAAGCCAATGGATTCCAGTTTGAAATGGTGGTGTTTTATGAATTTGTTAAGTGGTCTCAGATTGATTACGGTTCTATTTCCGCCATCCTTTTTGGGAATAACGAATATACTGGAGGTCCAAACTTTTGAAGACCAGGGTATTTCTTCAACGGCCCCTTTCTCTAGCAGTTTTGAGACTTCAGCAATGAGAAGGTCAGAAAGCGAGGCAGATCTCTTTTCATGCAAGGAGCATCGGGGTTTCTCATCGCCAAACTCGAGCTTGTACCCCTGTATTGTTTCTAAAACCCATGGGTCTCTGGTGAGACGTGCCCAATTTTTTTGGAAAAGCGCCAGTCTGCCTGCCCGAACTTGAAGTTCGTTATGGGGAACATCCTGCTCACTTACGTGAATAGCAAAATGATTTTCTAACCTCTCTTTTTTTGATGAAAACGTCTTCATCCTTTTTCCATTGCTGTGCGTCCTCTTGGACTTTGCTTCCTTCACCAGGGCTTCCGTGAGCTTTCTGCATTGGGACTTCTCCACTATTTCAGTCGTGAGTTTGGGGCCTATGAGCGCCGGACAGACTTCGTTCCAAGGAAGATCTGCTGAGCGAATAGGCTCCTCGACTGGAAATCGGTGAAAATTGTGCACTATTTTCAACGGCTCGACTCCAAATGACCTGAAATATGGTAAGGTGGGAATGAGCGATTGTGAATGAGTAAGGTCATGAGCCCTGATGACTTACCTTAGAAATCTTTCTCTTCTTCGTGTCACATTCGCTTCGACACCAAAGGAGAGCACTTCCATGGCTTGCTCTATGTAAAGATCTGCGCGTTGGGAGCGACCCGCCCGACTCTCGCTCCGAGCAATAGCCATTAGATTGAGGGCGTTTAGCAGCACTTCAGCGTCCGCCATCAGCGAAGATTCATCGACTTGAATTCTGAAGCAATTGAGTTCATTGACCTTCATTGTGGTGAAGAGAAGTCTGGATAAAACCTCACCTGAATGATTTTCTTGGTAAGCCTTCATCCAAAACCGGGGGAGCTGCCAAACCCGACGATACCAGAGGAAGGCGGTCGAAGAAGCTCAATCTATCCTCGGTGCCTACGTAGACCCCTGCTGCACACTTGTTGAAGTGATCCAGAAGTTTTTGGTCGATTTCGACTCTTGTCCGGAGCTTCTTGTACTCCATTCGAGCGATTTCTGGCGCTTCCTTGACTGCGCCTGCGAAGTCGATTCTTCTGGGAATACGGATGGCTTCCAAAGGAGATTCGGTGCTGAATCCTTTTTTCCGCGATTCCTCCTTCCGGTGGCGCGGGTTGTTGCCGTCCGAGTTGTCCTCCGAATACGACGATGTCGAGGTAGAACTTGACGAGCTGTAACAAGACGATTCCGAAGAGGTGGAGTCCTTTCTTCTTTTCCTCGTGTTCTCCACTTCGTTTTCCTTGGAGTCCGAGGGCCCGTCGAGGAGTTCCTTCTCCAGTCTCGCCAGTTCGCTGTCCTCTAAAGAGGAGGACATCTGGAATTATAATTGTAAAATAATAGCTAATCCAATTGAAATGTTTAACGAGCGAATGGAGCTAATTGTACATTCACCGCAATGTGATGGCTCCCACACGGTATCAGTCCGCGATCTGCGGTGCTCTACTGGCCTCCGCTGGGAACCAAGGCTAGCGCACTACTGGCGCTGCCAAGGATCGAGTACAGGAGTTCTAGTGACTCCTGGAATGCCCCGCACTCGCTGACTGATACCGAGGGGAAGCAACGAGTAGGGGGTGTTGGTGAAAAAAAGAGGGGGGAGAGGAGAGTGGAGACGAGCGTCTCCGGTGCTCAAGCAAGACGAATGAGATGGCAAGGTACAGGGACGCTTGGGGCATGCGCGAATTCCCGCGCGAATTGAATTATTGATTGATCTACTTGATCAAGATCAACTTGAGGAGAAGCTCAGCACGGCGCGCTAAAGCACTGTAATTGATAGTAGCAGTGTAATATAATCAGTGGTACCGTGGAGCAAGCACGCTCAGACAACTCGGCCGTTCACGCTTCTGCCCCATTTCAAGGGGGAAGAGAATACTTGTTAATGGCTTTATCGGCGGTTTGCGTTGGTTCATTTTTCATTTTCAGTCAAGTCGTCATCCACAATCTCATTATCGACCACTGCTACCTCACCAATTTAATCTGGGCTTGTGGCTTTAAATGGCCGTTTCCCTGACAGGCAATGCTTATGAAGCACAGAAGCCGACAGACGATATACAAATAGTATCACAAAATTGGTGCTATGCGGGTTGTGGGGGTGGGTCAACGCCCATCGCGCCAATCCGCTTGTCTCGCATCCTCACCGAAATACTGAAATGCAAGTGCACATTCCCACTCTCCAGACAAGTTAAGTGAACCACTCTACCCTCACCCCCTCCCCTTCACATTAGTCAGTGCTCACGTATTTTCATCATACACCAATCAACCAGTGTCCCGGAGAAGGCAGGCGCACACAAGCGGAGCGGTCGGCGACGCCCTCCCCCGCCCCACCCCACCCCGACTCGCATAGCACCGTAAAATGTAACATTTTCTTCATGCATCGCTTGCTTAAGGTATGCGACAATTACGAAGTGAAGAAAATCTGGGAATGTGTATACATCGTGAGCCTGTTCACATTTAGTGTTCAAGATCATGTTCAAGTACTTAAAATAAGTTTCGCAATCCAATTTCTGCTTATTTCATCTTGAGAGAATGCCGTTCCTGCAAAACAAAACAAAATTCTGGGCTGATCATTGTCATGTGTACACTAAACTAAAATTCATATACATGTATTCACCAATATACTTGCAACTGATACTTGAAGGAAATAAAGAACAATGTATGAACCTCATAAGTAAGCACTTTCAAAATTCGCAAGCCAAAGTTATTCTCATTACTTCGCACTTACAATAACCATATGTTCAAATGAAAATATTTGTAAGATATAAAAAGATAACGAGGAAACCGAGTTTGTAAAAGGTACAATTCGATGCGGTAAAGGTAATGAATCAAACACCAAGCAAGCTTTAAATTGAATGCAACATATAAAATAAAAATATATAACGCAGAGATAGAACTGAAATAAAATTCACAAAGCGCAAAAATCACCTATTACCGGCGCTCTCACTCGACGACGGTTGTGTCCTCCTGAGCAGCTAAAAACAAAAAAATTATTGGGTTTATGCAAGTTCCCAAGAGTGGTTTGTCTCCCCAAAACAGTCAGCCTATTTGACGCACTGAATCGAAAGTCTCCAAGTTCTCTCTTCATAGAATCTCCGCATCGTTGTTGAATTCTGTATTTTTCTTCTGCCAACGGGGTTTTTTGGATTTTATTAATAAATTTGTCACCTAAAAACCTCGTTGGCAGAAGAAAAACACATGAATCGAAAGTGATCTCGATGACTAGAGACCAACAGTGGAACTGCTCAAGGTTTTTTGAAGTCGAATGAAGTTCTAAGATTCCATATAAGGACTCCGAAATGGTAGAGGAGCTCAGAGTGTATCGAGAACACATCATTTTATTAGGAATATCTCCTATTCGACTTCATTCACAAAAAAAAACTTGCATCAAATAGGCGGACACATAAAATGCTAAATAACTTCAACACAGGGACCAGTCGGACCTCCATGTGATATCCTATCATACAAACTTATTCTATCATGCTTATGTTAGCGCCCTCCTCACCGTCCCTCTGTGTCTTGGAAAGCGATGTTCTTTCTGGTTGAACCAGATTATCACTCCCTGATAGAAATTCAGGCAGCTGATTAATAAAGAAGTCGAATTAAATTCAAAAGGACAACCTTTACATGGTACAACCTTTGCACTGTGAGGCTTAAATCATTGCGGAGATCTTAAGATGACGCTTGCTGGCTTACTGATGTCTAGCACTCTATCAGTCACCTAGCCAACTTATGGACATGGATGGTTAAGAAAAGGTCCACACAGAAATCGCCGCTCCAACTGCCGCGCGCGACGATTCTCGCCGCGTGAGCGGCGTGACCTCATTAGCCGACGATTGAATTGACCGTCTCCTGGACAGCGATAATCCATACCAAATGGAATGAGATCAGTTTATTGCTATTCAACTACATTCACCCGTTTCCCCGTCAACCATGCAAGGGGTCGTCTATCCGCTTGGACTTTCCAGATGTCCCTGGGTTCGAACCTCTACAGCTGGCTGGCCAAATCCGACATGACCCAGGTGGTCGCGCTGGCCGTGATAACCCGAATGCACGACTGGTGTGTGCAGCTTTTCTGGAACACGGTATAGACGTTTGTGGGGACGGAGAATCCCGGACGTCCATCTACCAACTCGAAAAGCAACAGCAACAGCAATCGTTGACGTGGAAACGAACAAGCATAGCCGTGACTGAGATGAAGTTGCTTCGCCACATCACCTCGCCATTGCTGACGAACCTACCGGTGACAAAGTCGTCGAAGAAACGACCGGCCTCTCGGCCGTCCTTCACCACAGTTATTCGATATTGAAGAAGAGTCTGAGGACTAACTTCTGACCTGAATATGATGGTCCTGACACGACGATCTTATCCGCATTGCCTCCTGGTGATACAATGTGTCGACCGCTGCGTTTTTTAGGCGTCATTTCGTCTCTCTTCTTCTCTCATGATTTGTGTTTGCCTTATGTATAATTCGTGTGTGAACTCGTCTCCTCCCCCTTTTGGAGCATCATCACGCTTATTTAATTTGTATTGATTTCGTTCTTTATTAGTTGTGTAATATTCTTGACTTGTCGATAAACTGAACCAATCTATGAATGGTCGGCCAGAGTTGAGCTTTCGTAGCTCTTCGAATAAGAACTAGGAAACCTAACAGGTCGTCGACGCTACCGAAAGCATCGGAGTGAATATTCAAAATAGCCCATCGATACATTCACAAATTTAGAAAAAAAATGTGACCGAAATATAGAACACCCACTCATTGGCTCTGACTGCACAGTTGGCTCTGACGAAGTGGGAACGTCCGTTCCAGAGAAGGTGAGCATGCGAGATGAAGTGGGGACGTCACCACTGCTGAGAGCCGACGAAGGTCGTCGCGTTGTGGAGATGGATCGACTGCGAATTTTAACACAGCTTAGTCCGTGAGTCTGAAGGTTGCTTATTCTGAAACAGATGATTGATTGTCAGCATGAAAACCTGTTTAAAAAATGCAATTATGTATTACTTGACTGGGGTTGTAGTGGCAGTTTTCTTAGGAGCAGCTAAGCGAGTAACCAAAGCGCGTTCTTCCTCTTTCGAAAGGGTCTTTGTCGACACTGATACCGCAGAGTTTGTTGTTGAACCAGTCTGGAAACGCCTCTCTCAAGTTCACACCAACAATAAAAAATTGAACAGCCCAGTCCATTTCGAAATTCTGGCCGTTGAATACGAGACAGTGTTCATCAGCACAATTTCAATGGACTTCGCCGTACGCATCGGTCAGAATTTTCGAGATACACTGTACCTTATTTGCAGCATTTGGATTGTTAGATTTTCCCCGAAAATTAATTCCCATCGGTATTGTAGGAGGGCGGTGAGCTGGAGTTAATCCCTATAATAACTAGCTGTAATTCTACTTCCAAGATGATTCCCTATACTTTACACATTGTGAAAGAAATATGAAAGAAGCAGTAACTGCTGTTACAATTCAAAATGTTATATAGAATGTTTTTACATCATTTGTCTGTAAAAATGAAGCAGCACAGTTACCGAGGGGGCGGGATAACGTCGAAGTTCCGCACAGAAACCACGCAACGGTGTCCCATCGCCCGGATTTTTCGTTGGGACGGGTGAGGAGCGTATTACAGACGATCGAGGCTTCAGTGGATGCGAGTTCTCGTTATGCCGTACGGAGTGCTGTGATGGAGTTGCGCCCTAAAATTGTTTTCACTACATATTTTGCTCTATCGAAGCACAACACTGCGCTTCTTTTCAAAAAGATGTATTCAATGATCATTGAGCAAGAAGGGTATCACTAAAATATACTGAGTAATACTCGTGTAAATGGCTCCCCCACAGCGCATTTTGAGGCCGTTGTCAGGCTTCGCCAATCCAATGATTCGAAAGCGAATCGCGGGATACGAGCATTCCGTCAGCGAATCGAGCTACGTGCCAGCGATTCGAACGATGTACCATGACTCGACATTGTTTGAAAACGGCGGGACTCAATTTGAAAGCGGCTCCCGCCATTTTTCGGGCTGACGAGGGCATGCGAGAGTGGGAGGGCATGCCAGAGTGGGAGGGCACGAGAGCTCGAAAAAGTAGCGAGAGCCAAGGTACAAACGAGAGGGAGTCTCGCCACTTTCAAATAGTGTCGAGTCGTTTTTTTTTACATCTGGTGCAACGCTCGCACTGAGACTCGCTGGTCGCAAAGTCTGACATGGACCCGAATCAAAGCTCAAGACATCATTAATGGTACCATGATCTATGTGCTATCTAGCTGTTAGTCATTCAATCACAGTATTAACACATTAGCGACAATGCGATTTTTCGCTGCCATTTTCTCCCCCCCCCCCCTCCAAAAAAATTCAAATGCTGGAGAGCACTTATTACAGCAAATAAATAAAAAACAACTCAAAGTGGCAACTTTTAAAACTTTTCTCTCGAACAACTGCGAAAAGTTGCATTAATAACAAGAGAAAATTTCTTGCCCGACCAAAGAGGAATTCTGACTCAAATTTGAGAAATTCAATTTCCACCCGACAATGCTTAAGTAGAATGGGATCTTATATTTTTGGCGGAAAATGTATGCTAAGTGATTAGAAACAAGACAACGAGTTACATTTTCAATATATTGGAACAACAGCAACGCTGATCTGACTAATGAAAAAAAAAACAGCCAGCAGACCCAAAGGATGATTTTAAAGCAAAAAATCCAGTGGTAGTGTGTCTGTGCAATTTTGAATTTATAAGGAGCATCTATGCAAAAAAAAAATTCAAAAAAATAAGATAATGGGTTGAATCGAATGAATAGAAGGAGAAAAGAAAAACCTTTGCAGTAGTAGTACTCCTCGTTGTAGCAGCTATGGAGACTGGAGCTCTTGACGTGCGTGTTGAATCACTGGGGATTCCAGACTGAGGAGGAACTCGCTGTTTCGAGGTATCCGGGAAATGCGGGCGAGTAACGCTAGGGGGACGATGAGAACGGCTGATGCTGTCAGTGCGAGAAGCTGGGCGTGCTACAGATGACGGTCGAGTCACACTTGGAACACGAGTCACACTTGCGGGGCGATTCACACTTGTGGCACGAGGCACGCTCGGGGCACGAGGCGCGCTTGTTGCGCGAGGCACACTTGAAGCTCGTGCAACACTGGGAGGATGTACCGGACGTGTGACGCTTGGTGGACGTACGACTGGACGGTGGGTAGGGGGACCTGCGCTAGAGGAACCACGACGTATTGGTAGTCTTGAAGAGCTTGCCCTTTCCTGGCCTAAAAATAGGGCCAATAGGTATATCATTACGATAAAACCGAGGAAGGTACAGAAGGAGATTAGCCTACCTTTATTTGTGGGAACTGAAGCAACTGAAGGTCCCTTATCGTCATCCTTCGGAGTCGAAGTTGAACCGCGCTGGTTCGGTCCCAAACTTGAAACACGGTTTACTAGGTCACGGCGGAATTGACTTTCACTTGGAACAGCAGCATTGTTAAGAAAGGCATCTGAATTAAACACGACCTACGTTGACGGTAGATATCACGCCAGCTAAACATAAATGATGTACCTCTAACTTGCGGACGTCCTATTCGCACTGGAGCAGCGCGTTGCGAATTTCTAGCCGAAGCGCTGCTTGTGGTTGTACGTGGAGCTCTATCTCGTGCAAGACGTTCACTTCCCATCCTAATTTCACGGACACCAGCTGCGAGTTTCTGGAACCGCGAACAATCAGAAAGATAAGGAACAGTCTATGACACCGCTGTATAGGACGCACCGCCACTGGATCAGATTTAACTGTTTCAGTCTTGTTCGTCGTTTCAGATTGAGAGCTGAAACATTCCTTATTGCCCAACTCTCCAAAGTGATATTTTAAAGAGTAACGTCGCACCTTATCACAAGCTCTTTTGAACGCGAGCGAGTAACTGGCCCGCCAGGTAGGTTGTGGTGCTGCCGCACAGTCGATCTACAAGCAAGAGAATGAACTGAAAGTTCAAAACACGTTTATGAAGCCAAATACTCACCCAGTTTGAGACGTGACCGATTGGCTAGAAGCGCATGGTGCACGCACAACATCCTGATTCGCATTAGAAGTGACTCGTACTGGGCTGAAAACTGCAAACTGCACACAGGAACCAAGTCTTTAAAAAGATACTCTCGCTTCATAATGAGCAAAAAGAATCCTGAACAGACACTGCGTACTTATGGTTAGTGTTCTATTATCTACAAATTAATGAAACAAATCAAATAGCCAAGGCCATGGTTGAAATGACGAAAGTTTGGCCAAAAATTCTTCTCCAATACCGCTAGTATATTAATTTGCTTGAATTATCTTAATTAGTCTTGACAAGCGCACATTGGTGTCGGGACAGTTGGATTAAAGTGATCTTTAAAATCAGTGATCATCAAAAGCTGGAATGCGTGGGTTTGGAAAGAGGCGCGTCAAGCACACTGCACCCTTTTAAGCTGGAGAATAGAAAGAATTCGAGGGAGAAAACATAATGCGTTATATGGCAAAACGATTCTGTTGTGCAAGTAACGAGCAAGTACTAAAATGGCAGACACACCCCGGCTTATTTCCTTCTGCACGTATATTAGGCCGATTCAGTGTACTTCTAATACTTGACGGCGTTAAACGAGCTCTTGCGCTCAACACACTGAAATGATCAGAATTACCTAAGCAATATAGAGCAGACAACGGTATGGAGTATTCATCATAAAAAATAATAAAGTCATAAACGTACGGATCATTTCGCTGATTATTAGAAGCCCTGGCGTTGGCAACAGGTGGCGGACGTGCACTTCGAGTAGGTGTTTCGCGAATCGGGGTGCGCCGGGCCGACGATGTATGGCTTTCCGACGGAGCTATAAAGCAGGAACATATTAGTATGTACATATATTAAATTAAACAACTGTAAAAATTTTTGAGCGGAGAAGGAGTAGTTACAAGTGTATCACTTTACCTGCTGCGGCTCCCGTCCCTGCTGCCTCAGGTCTGATTTGAGATCGACGGAGTACTGTTCGCTGCTTACCGAACATTGCCAAACGACTGAGATCCTCTGGAAAAATCGGTGAAGAGCGACCCAGAAATTACAGTAAAATGAAGTATTTCCTACCAAGATTTTCGGTTGGTTTAGTCACAATTGGCTCCTCAGGACGATTTTCATCTTGAACTGAAGGTTGAGATTCAGTGGATGCCGTTGCATGTACAGTTGGATTCGTCACTTGCGAGGAACAGAGGTTGGTTTCCACTGTATTGTTTACCGGTGGTTTAACACCCATTGTAATCGCTTCGACGTCACCTAAATGCTCTGGAATTCCAGAGAGAAGAGATTGATATGAGCGTGATATCCATTGTCGTTCACAACAATTTGAAATTTAATAGATGGTTAAAACCTTAAGCAACAACAAGAAATGAGGAATAGAGCATGAGGCATTAGTCATTCACTCTCTAGGATGCTCCGTGCATTCTACTTCTACCAGCGAGAAGTGTTCCAAATCCCCAAGGAACTTTCTATTGAGACCTAGGTAAATAGATAGACCCTGGGATGATAGTTACAAACGTGTGTTAGCGATCAAAGTGACCCTAAGCTTGATTCCCCGTGGTGACAAAACTGCATTCCAGATTGATGCTTCCACATTTGTGCCAAATGGCGTGTGCGCCAGAAAATATGCCATCTTCGTGAACAGGGCCATCAGAATCCTTCGCAAGTAAGTTTTTGTCAAATATCGGTGTACCAACCAAGTAACAGCCAACTTTCATCGCTCACAATTTCCTAGGCAAGTTCGATTTGCTTACCAGCTTTAACTACGCATAAAGCCTAGTGCGGCACATGTCCAATTCGACAAACAGTGTAGCTATATTTAAAACCTCAGCAGACGGGGTTTACGGACTACTTGATTTTTCCTCAATGGTCCTGCCGCGATGGCTAGAGCACAGACGATTAGAGAAAGCGTGAATGTCTCAGGACTAAGCCTTGGGAGAAGGACCCGCGAGAGAGCGCAGAGGCGGTTTAAAGGACTGAAATCCGGACGGTTCACGGACTACTTGATTTCCTTCTCAATGGTCCTGCCGCGATGGCTATGAGCACAGACGATTAGAGAACGGGTGAATGCCCTAGGACTAAGCTTTGGAGAGGAGAGGGACCCGCGAGATAACGCAGAGGCGGTTCAAAGGGCTGAGTTCAAGCAGCCCGTCGACTTGGCACGGTTCAGTCCTTCCTCAGGGGATGATATCCCTACTCCGATTTCGAATCCTCTGGGGGACAAAAAAGGGTTGCGTCATAGGACCTAGCATACCTCTGTGTTTCTACCTGCCAGACAGTTAGAGCAGCGCTACTACCCTCCACTGATGAAGCACTCTTTCCCTGAGGGGTCGCGCTGCTCTAACTGTCTGGCAGGTAGAAACACAGAGGTATGCTAGGTCCTATGACGCAACCCTTTTTTGTCCCCCCAGAGGATTGAATCAGAGTAGGGGGATATATCCCCTGGGGGAAGGATTGAATACCGCCCCTGGTGCACATGATCTATTCTTGAGCAAACCACCATATCTACCCATCACTAGGTCCCCACTGTGTTCAAAGCTATTTTAGTACGGCTCGTAGTTGGAAATCAAAGAAAAAATCATAAAAGACTTACTGTGGGTTCTGAAGAATTCCATCATCACATGACTCAGATTTCACTTCTCCATGGTCCCCACCGCATTTAGCATCAACATCGACATAAGTGTCCGCCTCTTCAGCCATTGCTATAAAAAAATTATCAACATGCAGTGGTTTGTCGAACTGGCGGAGTTGTTACAATGGACAATGAATTGAAGTATAGTACTGAATAAAACAAATTGAGAATCAAGATGAAAGGGAATGCCTTATGCGAGTGTGAGGATGAGCAGAATGAGGATGTAACACTAAATCGATCTGAAGAAAATAGATGAACCCACAACCTCCCCTAACAGAATCAGATAGGTGCCAGAGTTCGCAACTGCAACCCCAATCGTTAGCGCGGTGCGATGCCAACTTCGAGCCCCCTCCACTCGCAATTGCAGTCTGGGACCTTTTGCGCTGGAAATGTCAACGTAAGCTTTACCCTGGGGCAGGTTACGTTGAGATTGTCCGGCTTTTGTCTATAAGGCAAATAAATCGCAGTCTGAAGAAGTGAACACATAGAGTAAGGACCGCCCGACTAAAGAAATGGAAAACGAAATTTGTCAGGTGAGGGATCATGAGCTGAGGGAAAGGGAACACCATTTTGGGGGACGAAGCAACATAACGAAGCGAACTTTGGGACTGATGCAGGTGGACTATTTGCTGTCGAGGCAAAATGTGAGCTTGCGATGCTCTTTGAGCGGAATTAGAACCGTCTCCTAACAAAGAGACCACGAATAGCCATTTCTGATTCCACTAGATAAAGTTCCCACCCCACGCTCTTCACGAATTATGACAAACGGATTCCATGACCCCATGACCGTACAGCAACCACAGCACGACTTTTCCCTCTTTATTGTAAACTGTGAAACCACATAGAGCATGGTATGAAGCCGCTCAAGGGGCGGCCGACCGTCTGCGTGACAGAGGCATGTCCCAAAAGAGGAACTACACAGTCACACAATGCGTGCGTTACACTCCTTCCACCTAGGGTACTAGGGTGCTAACTTAGTTGGGGGGGACCACGCGGCGGCGCGGCAGTCTGCTCACCTGGGCTCTCTCGAGCGAGACAGTGTAAACTCGAACATTCCAGCTTTTCACGCATGTCAAGTGACTGCCCCACCCCCCCCCCACCCCCCTAGACTGCCTACACTCCCCCTGGCCCACGGATTTCCGAACATGCCAGGCGAGCAGACTGCCGCGCCGCCGCGTGGCCCCCCCAACCCAAGTTAGCACCTGCACAGTTCCACAATCACAACGTCGGGTAGAGACCTAACAACCTCGACTCACCTCTGCGCACGACTCCGACAACGTGGGGAATAACAGTCGAATGTG